CGTTATCATCGGGGTATGTTTCAAAGTCGTAGAATATTAATTTTTTTGCTGGAATATGATCCGCTTTTTCAGGCATGGGAAGGCTCTGGATATAACACTTATGATCATCACCATCATCATAAATTACGCCTCCACAGGTGTAGCAGGTGGACTCGGGGCATTTGTGAGGCTTAGTCTGTTTACTCAGAGGAATGTAATACAGTCTCGAACATTTTAAGCATTTTTTATGAATTTGGCATAGGCTGGCATGCGTTTCAGCGTGGGGGTGCCAGGTCAACTCTCTGTGTTTTATGAGACAGTATGGGGATGCGCATAGTCTGTTGCAGCGGTCACACACAACACTGTCTGATAAGGATCTCTGGACTCGTGGACTGGTCTAAACAGCCAGATTTTAACTCTTACCTCCTGGAAATGAGGTTGTGCATAGAATTCCTCCCTGTACAACCACCAGGGGTGCCATGCCCTGTGTTGCACTTTGTGGCATCTGTCTAGATAAGCCACTCTTTAATATAGGCTTCCGTTCTCCACGTGGAGATTGTGGGGAAGATGGCGGTGTGTGTGTAAACTGCACCCTGCAATTTGTGCTAGAATGTGCAGCTTGCACTGGAATTACAGTGCCACTTGGAGAATTAACTTCAACTGGCATTTGTGACTTGCTTGAACTGGCTGAAGGAGACTGAGAACACTTGAAATTTCTTAAAAACATGTACAATCAGCAAGAAAACCCTCAGCCTGTTTAAATCTTGCTTCAGCTTTTGTTTCTTGTCAAAAAGGTACAGCTACTGACTACTTGTCTAGCTTTCACAGCAGCAAGACAGGCTTGCTTCAAAAATAGTCCTATAGCATCCCCTTGTGGGGGAGGACTGTCACTATCACCAAACATCCCTTTATTTTGCACCTGCAAGACCCATGCAATAAACTGGTTTTTCGCATTATCCTGCTCATCTTTAGGAACCGTATTTAACCATTTAAACAAAACCCTATAGAGTAATGGCCCCAAAGAGTCAGATTTACACATTTCCCACTCTTGCACATTTACAGACATATTGATAATTATGCACACGTGACTGGCGTCTCAAAGTGGAATGGTCTCTGCCCAGAACTGCTGGTCCAGTCACAAAGGTTCTACATCAAAATACCTTTTGATGTGCGTGACCGCTGGGGGTTTTCCCAATCAACAGTTCTGTTTTAATTCCAGTGAACACGCCGTCACCCCAAATTCTATAATACAGTTTTCCCATAGGCTATTCCCAACCCTGGAACCAAACACAGCTCTGCCCAAGGTACACTGTTTCACACGAAATTTCCCAAGTAGCACTTGTTGCTATAGGATATGCGTGCGACAGCGTTCAACAGCCTTTGTGCAGAAATACACCCACAGGTAAAGAAAACAAAAAATATTTCCCTGTGCCCTTATTTTGTCATTTAACAGTTACTAGTGATCATCTTTTAAATATTTAGACGTTCAGAATTGTGACTTCCGCCTCACAGCAAGATAGTCTTCCCATCGGAGCAAAAGTCCTAATACTTTAGGAGACAACCGTCAAAATTTGTGGTTATCCACTTATTAACGTAGATTTTATGTCTCTGATAGTCATCGATTTCTATAAATAGGACACTTATTTTTCTATCCCTCAAATGATGGGAGCAAGCAAAAGTGCTTGCAACTTTACGTGTGGCAAAAACAACACCAGCACATTTTCACAATAACAGTGATATTTTATCCTTACATTTATCGTTCAATTTTTTTAATCGGGAATTTATAGTCCACACAGATCAACTAAATTTTGTAAAATACAATATGCAGGAATTATATGCAAAAGTTTCCTGCTCACCTGTAGTTATTGCCGGCAAATGTTGATCTGTGGGTCAATTCACTCCCGACTCAAATCCAGTGGCCCGATTCGGACCGTCTGCTCAGTATTCAGCCAATTCCGAAGGTCACAGAACCAAATTGTAACACTCCAGTTCTTTAATTGGACAGCTCTGAATAACGAAGGAGTCCGTCTTTCTTCATTTAGTGCTGATTTATTTTACCACAAACAAAAATTACAAACACGACCCAGGTTGATCCCCCTTCCAGAAACACACACACTGGCTGCTGGAGTGCTGGTGTGTAGCTAAGGCATTCATTTATTTATTCAGACATAATATTCTAACACAAGATTAATGCAGGAAAACAATTGGTGTCATGGTTCACTTTTCAGAATCAATATTCTGTCTGCTAACCTTGAAACAAAACAGACTAGAGCAGACTTTGAATCTTACTAAATTGCATAACACATTAAGGTCTAACAGTTACTACTGTATCTAACAACTCTGAATGTATTTGTTAGTGCATTTGTCACAGATGTCAACCAGAGAATGCTATTTTCTTTATTTGTCTGCTTTTCATCTTGACAGGGTTGTGACAGACAGATGATCTTTGACATGCTAAAAAGCCTGCGCTCTGTTGTCTACCTTCCAGGGGACTATGTCTGCAAAAAGGTACATTTACCATTTAGTGTGTTTCATTTTTATCAGACAACTGCATGTGGTAGCTGCTTATTGCTTTTTATCTTATCTACCTATGACATTCTCTCTTTTTTTTTTTGTTGTTATTGCTCAGGATGAGGTGGGTCGGGAGATGTACATCATAAAAGCAGGGGAGGTGCAGGTGGTTGGCGGGCCAGATGGAAAAACTGTGTTTGTTACTCTGAGAGCAGGATCAGTCTTTGGAGAGATCAGGTAAAGAGGTGGTGTTGAATAAAAAATATGTAATTTAAAGCAAATTTTACACACAATGTACAATTTAAAAAAACTTTGAACTGAAGACTTTAGCCTGCAGTCTCTGGCAAATTTCTTATAAAAAAATCCTGAAACTGAAATTAAAGCATGGTTTCACCTTTATTTTTCTGATTGACAGCTTGCTTGCAGTTGGTGGGGGTAACAGGCGCACCGCAAATGTGATTGCTCATGGCTTTGCCAACCTCTTCATCCTGGACAAAAAAGACCTGAATGAAATCTTGGTCCACTATCCAGAGTCTAAGAAACTACTCCGCAGGAAGGCCAGGTTGAGCAAAAATTGCATTGCATATTATCAGCTATCATTTTCTAGAAGCCACAAAAAGGATTTCTTTAGTAATTATGATTTGTATCTGTCATCCAAGCCATCCCTGGTAGGGTAGTGGTTAAGGCGCAGCGCTCTCGCCGCTGCGGCCTGGGTTTGAATCAGGGTTGCGTCAGGAAGGGCATCCGGCGTAAAACACATGCCAAATGTCAACATGCGAGTTGTCAGTGTGACGATTTGCTGTGGCGACCCCTAAAACGGGAAAAGCCGAAAGTGACTTTCTTTCTATCTGTCATACATCCCATGCAGGAAGTTGCTTAACAAAGGAAAGAAACCTGAGCCCAAAGAAGAGGCTAAGGAACCCCCTCAGGTCCCGATGGCCCCTGTCAGGGCAGAGACTCCCAAATTACTGAGAGCTGCGCTAGAGATGACAGAGAAGTCTTCTGGACTTAAAGGAATTATGGCTACAATCAAAGAGAAGACCAGCAAATCCAACATCTCATCACAGGTAAACATACTGTCAACCTGAGCAAAACAGATAATAAATACTGTATATGCACATGTGACAGTGACAAGACTCTTCTCTTCCAGCCATCCATCTCCTCCTCCCTTCCTGCTGCATCTCCTGTCTCCAGCTCTGGAACCGATGGAGACATGGACACCCCGCGTCACTCATCTCTGCCAGGCCTACAGCGTTTTGAGCTGCTTCCCATTGCCACACCAAATGCTCAGTGACACCTTGCTCTGTATCACAGTACCAGGGTGATGGAGGAAACACTTGCCATGACCAATGAAAGGAAGGTGTCAGTGAAGGTGAAGAGGAAAGAAAAGAAGTTGTGATAGTTTGAAGGCAAATGAGGGAAGGAGAGTGGCTGGAGAAGGTAAGAAGGAAGTGTAGGGGATTGAGGAAGGTGGAGACATGATATACAGTGGGGCAAATAAGTATTTGATACACTGCCGATTTTTCAAGTTTTCCCACTTACAAAGAATGGACAGTTTTGTAATTTTCATCGTAGGGACACCTCAACTGTGAGAGACAGAATCTAAAAAAAAATCCAGAAAATCACATTGTTAGATTTTTAAATAATTTATTTCCATTTTATTGCATGAAATAAGTATTTGATCACCTACCAACCAGCAAGAATTCTGGCTCTCACAGACCTGTTAGTTTGTCTTTAAGAAGCCCTCCTATCCTCCACTCATTGCCTGTATTAATTGCACCTGTTTGAACTCGTTACCTGTATAAAAGACACCTGTCCACACACTCAATCTATCAGACTCCAACTTCTCCACTATGGGCAAGACCAAACAGCTGTCTAAGGACACTAGGGACAAAACTGTAGACCTACACAAGGCTGGGATGGGCTACAGGACAATAGGCAAACAGCTTG